CCCCTAAACAACAACAATCTTTTTAAGTAATAAGTTACACAATCCTAAATAAAGCTATGTATGCACACAATGTAAGTATTCTTACAATGATACAATAATTATAGAATTTTTAAAAAGCTATAATTTTTAAATCAATGAAAGTTACAATGCATTTTTATGTTATTTTATCCTCATGACGTGTGTGCATGTGTGTGTATGTGTTTGTGTGTGTGTGTGTGATAGAGAGAGGAGAAAGAGAGAGAGAGAGAGAGAGAGAGAGAGAGTTATGTTTTCCACAAGGACAGAGGACTTAGCACCATGGTGCCTACCAACCCATAACCTACTCTTCCCCAAAATTCCTAAAAAAATGTACTTTCACATTTTAGTTTCTATACAAAGCTCTTAATGGGATCATGTAGACAAGGTAATTGCTTTGAGGACAGGAGTTCACCATCTTCCAATCTGCTGGCATGTTGCCACTAAACTCTTTCAATTTGGTTGGACCCAAGGGGAAGTCAAATGTCACCTTCATGGTTAAAACAGGTCAAACAGAATGTCATAGATTAGGCCTTACCTAGTGAAACTTCCCACAAATTTTAGCTAGGCAATCTTGTAACAAATAATTACGTTAGAACTCTTATACTAGGAATAACAGTGTGAGCAGTACCACAGAAAAGAATTCAAGTTACTGAAAAACAAGTGTTTTTATTATTATAACATAAACATAGTTAGACTCCTTTATAAATTAACTTGTCCAGGCCATGTGCCAGAAGCAAGTATCTACTATGATTCTACATGGTAAACAAGGGATGAATGTCAAATTGAGAGATACTAAAAATAGAGTCTATCCTTGAAGAAGCAAAACTTTTATACAGTGGTTTATATTATGGATATAAGGCATAAGTAAGAGTTTGTTTTGGCAGAAAGACTACGGAAGTTGGACCAAGCTACAGCACAGCAGGTAGGGTGTTTGCCTAGCCACAGTCAATCCAAATTTAATCCCCAGGACTTCATATGGTCCCCCAAGCATTGACAGGAATAATTCTTGGCCAGGAGTCACCTCTGATCATGAGTGTGGCCCAAAATCAAACAAGAAAAAGGAAGAATGTATTGACAGAGTATACAGCATGAGAAGAGCAACAGAACCACAACTGCTATGCATTTGTAAAATAATTGGAAAGTTAATGTGACTAAAACTTAAGGAATGTAGAAACGAAGGAAAAAAGACCCAAGAAACTAATTCTTTTGAGTTCTTTTTAGTGTGATTTTATTTCATTGTGTCTCAAGATACTCCTACATGAACAAATGGGATTAAAATTGCAGACTGACAGAGTTGAGGACCTGATGCAAGCTTATTAAGCACGGCTGCACCAACGGCAACATACTGTGAGTCTGAATCTGTCAGATTGCTTCTCACCAATTTAAACTACTATTGCCATGGAATGATAATCATTATGAGTAAAACTTATCTTTTCATTTCCAAGGTGCCCAGAATAATGATCAAATAACATTCTCTTCTTGACAAGACACTCTGCAATGGAAGAATATATATGAATTTCTTTCTTAGGTATACATTTTTTAGGTGCATGCTTAATTTTTCCTTTATGTTTTCCACATCATTGCTTCTAAATGTGAAGTCTGTGGGCTTTTTTTCCCTTCAGAATCTTTGTAATTCCATCATTGATAGTAGAGACAGGTTTAATAAACTGTTTATTATTTTATGATATATGAGATGGAATAAAAACAGGTAAAAACTGGATTTTATTTATAGTAACCTCTAGAAGCAATACTAAGTCTATATTGCCTTGAAAAACTGGGATGCATTTGTGAGTATCTCCTTTTTCTTCTATAAATAGTACTACAATTTTCTGGAAAGATCCAATAAACTAAACACAAAATAGACTAGTTCACTGTCAAGGAACTTAGCTAAAATGACAGATAAATACCTAAGAAGAAAATGTGAATTTCATTCAAAGAGAATGAAGTAAGATAGACAAAAAAGGTCTTACAAAGGATAGCCTTAATAATAACAACAGTGTAGAATGAATAAAAGAAAATAAGCAGAGTCGAATTGGAGAGCTATAGTAATTTAAGTGAGCTGTTTCCGTAAAAGCATGCCTTGCAAGTGAGAAAAGTGAAGGGGAAAAAAGGTGTCTTCATAACTAGGTACACATGAAAAATAACCTTAGGTTATCTATATGTGACTTTACTAAGAAAGAGATACTTATAAAATATTAAGAAATTCTGCAGAGGAAAGCTACTATATAATTTTACATATAACTCACAAATACAACAAATGCAGAAATAGTTCTGAGTTTGTTTTTGAAACCACCTAAAAAACATGCTAAGAACTAGACTCAGTATTGAAACAAGTGATTTTTTTGAAGATTAGGGCTATTAAAATTTAAAAAAAAGTTCCCTTATATTTTCCTATTTTCAGAAATCTATACAAGAACATGAACATAAGCTAAACCTCTAACTAGAAACTTTTAAGGGAATATATCTTCCCTTTAAATGTTATACCTCTCTGGTGCTTGCCTTGAATGAGATGACCCCTGGTTCAATCCCCAGACCTGCATATGAGCCCTTGTACATTGATGGATATAAATCCCAAACAAAATAAAAGAAAAGGAAAGATCTGTTATTAGAAGACAAACCTCATATTGCTTTTCATAGAGTGTAATGCCATCAGAGTTAAGGAGCGTCTCTTAGAGAAAATGAAAATTTGTTTGGATATTCAATTGCTATAATTCTTTATATTCCACATATGAGAGAGAGATCATCTTTTTAATAAATTTATTTATTGAATCACCATGAGAGAAGTTACAAAGCTTTCAGGTTTAAGTCTCAGACATACAGTGATAAAACACCCGTCCCTTCACCAGTGCATGTTTTCCATCACCAAAACCCCCCAGTATACCCCCCATTCCACACCCTTCCCCTACCTCTGTGGCAGATGATGTCCACATTATTCTCTCTCTACTTTGATGATATTCAATATTTCGACACCAGACCCACCATTATTATTTGGAATTTTACTCCAACACTCAGACCTGCCAAAAGGGCAACATTAGACAATTTGTTTTCTATTGCTGATTATGAATAGCATATGATGTCGAGCAGCCAAAGAAGCAACGCATGGTTTTTGAATTCTGAAATTTTAATAATTAAATCTGGAGGGATTTCTGCCAAAAGCCACTGGGTTCCAAGAATTGTTTCTGAGTCTCTGGGATCATGGCTTAAGCAGCTTGATTAGTAGCCAGAGGGCCCATTCTTGGGCAGTAACTGGAGGTCTCTTGAGGTCGGGGAGGAAAGGGCTGGCTCCACCCCATCCCATGAGGCCCATGTGTCTCATCACAATGGGTCCCTATCTGACTGTCCATTGGCCTCTGGGAGCTGATGGAACCCGAGTCTCCAGGGGGAACAGGCTGAGGGACGACATCTTTTCCCACCTGGGGTGGCCCGGGGCTGGTAACCTAATGCAGAGTCCAGATGCATTTCTGCCAAAAGCTGCTGGGTTCCGAGATTTGTTTCTGAGTTTCATTTTGTATCCGTTTTTCTCCTCTGCCTGACTTCATTCAGCATAATGCCTTCTAGTTTCATCCATGTAGCAGCAAAATTGCATATTTTGTTTTTTTTATAGCTGAGTCATATTCCACAGTGTATAAGTGCCATAGTTTCTTATCCGTTCAGATACTCTTGGATACTTGAATTGTTTACAGATTTTGATTATTATGAATAAATAGACAATAATGAACACTGTAGAACAAATATCTTTTCTAAATTGAGTTTCTGGGACCTTACAACAGATGCTCAACAATGAGGTTTCTGTGTAATATTGAAGTTCAATTTGTGAAGTGTCCAAATTGTTTCCAAAAAGGTTAAACCAGTACACATTTTTACCAGTAGTGGATGATGGTTTCTTTTCCCCACAAGCAAACAGATACTCATTCCTTTGTTCTTTTTGATGTGTGCCAGACTCACTGGTATGAAGTGATATCTCCTTGTTCTTTTAATTTGCATTTTCTTGATGATAAGATATGCAGAACACCTTTTTTTTTTTCATACAACTATTAGCTGTTTGTACATGATTTTTAGGACATTTCTGTTAATCTCTTCTCCCCGTATTTTGATAGGATTGAATTTATTTTTCTTATTAATCTTTATATAAACCCTTTGTCCAGTTATTACCCCTTTGTCAGGTGAGTGATGGTGATGGATAAATATATTCTATGAGTCTGCAGGGGGTCCTATTTTTTCTAGTAATCATTTATTTTAAGTGCTAGAGCATCTAACTTGAATGTAGATCTATTTTTGTTTATTTGTTGTCTACTTGTTTGTTTCTGTTTGCTTGGCCATTGATACAGAATCTTTGAAGACACCTCTAAATCCAATGTCATGAATAGTTCTGCCTACCTTTTCCTCAAATTAATTTATGGATTCAGTTTGTATATCTTTCTTTAATCTATTTTGAAATGGCTTTTGTCCCTGGTATGAGATTGGTGCCTTAATTCCTCTTGGTTGCTTTTATTTAAAAAAAAAAAAATGTAACAGATCAGTTTCCACAACATCATTTATTGAAGACACTTTTTTTCTTCTACTTCATACTTTTATCTTCTTAATCAAATACTAGCAAACTATATAACAACAGATCTGCCTCTTATTTCTCAGTTTTATTCAGCTGGTCTACAAATCCATCCTTTTTCCAGTTCCTCACTGTTGATTACTATAGTGATGTAGTATGATTTAAAGCTGGGAAAAGCAAAGCTTTTTTGCCCCTAAGATTGCTTTGGTAATTCAGGGGTTTTATGACTCCATGTAAATTTCAGCAGCATTTGGTTGGCCTATTTCTTTGAAATATCGTATGGGTATTTTTTTTAATAGGAATTGCATTGAATCTGTATATTGTTTTGGTAGGACTGTCATTTTGACATTAATCCTTTCAATAAGTAAATAGAAGAAGTGTTTCCACTTCCTTGTGTCTTTTTTTATTTCTTTTAGCATTGACTACAGGGGTTTTTTTTTACATGAAACGCTTCATGAATTTTCATGCTTTCCTTGCACAAGGGCCATGCTAATCTCTGTATCATTCCAATTTTAGCATGTGTGCTGCTATAGTGAGTACTGTAGGTTTCTTTAAATAAGTTCTTTTCTCTTGTTGAACTGATTCTTGTTGGGTTGGTTCAGAGAAAGACACCTTGAGCATATGCAGTTCTCCCACCACTCAGGGATGAGGGATTCCTTGAACCACAACAAAAGACTACCTAGCTGACCTTGACCCCAGCTAACCAATCCCCACCAGGCAGAAACAGGATCTGGTTCTGAGTTAGCTGCATATCTCCTCCTTCTCTCTCCCCCACCTACCCCCACCCTAGTCCTCCTTTATTTCAATATAAACACATCCTAAAACACAGGAGGACGAGTTCTTCATTAGCCCCTCTGAGGCTTGTAAGGTTCACCCAACAACACTCTCTCTCCAATAAACTTCATTTCAACCTTATTTTCCTCTTGATTCCTGTTTATTCCCTTCTAAGCCCCTTCCCCAGACCTTTCAATTCCAAGATACTTAAGTTAAAGTCAACCGAACATGAGATCTGGTGTATAAAACTGATTCTATCATGACAGGAATATGTAAAAGGTGGTGGGAGCTTGAGGTTGGTGGGGGTGACTGCTTTTAGGAGTTTTAAGCAAGAGGACCCTGAGACAATGATGGAAGTAAGTAGACACTCTTGTAGTGGATGTAGTGTTGGAACACGGATGAATTAAACTCTATTATTAATAATATTGTACATCATAATGACTAAAATGAAAAAACTTACTGTGGATCACAAATACATTTTATTTACACACACAGTGGTGTTCAGAGGCTACTTTTGCCTTGGTATTGCTCATGGCATTGTTCAGGATACTTTGTGGTACTGTGAATGAAAATCAGGACTCCAGAATACATAGCATGCACTCAAGCCCATTAACTTATTTTCTCAAACTGATTTTTTTCTTTTAAATCCAAATGTATGACCAATTGAAACTGGATTAAGAAATAGAAATAGCTACTAATATAATTTTTAAAAGGAAAGAAAATAGGGTATTAGAAAAAGACTCAAGCGAGAAAATGACTAGATTATTTATTCTAGGACTGCCAGAATAAATGATGTGACTGCCTAGAGAATGTCCTTTGTAGTAAAAAATTAGTAAACGCTATTATGGGAACATTTAGGTTTGGATTTAGAAATGATCATTTTTTCTCAATTCTCACTAGACATAACAGTATGACTAAGTTAAATAGGGTTTAACTTAATTAAACTCAGTTAAACTATAAATTTACCTTAGTTAAATAAGTTAAATAAAACAGGGTCTAATTGAAGAATAACTTTCTAGATTTTATATTTGTTTAAAAAATTTAGTTTCAGACATAATATAGTACTTATAGAAATCAAATAGTGAACATATTATGAAATTTTGGTACTAAGCAAAACTAATCCTTTATGTGTACCATTAGTGGGCATACTGATAGTATTTTGTAAAATTATACACTTTTTGGGAATGCCCTGCCATAGAGGCAGGGTGGAATGGGGGGGATGGGAGTGGGAGGAATGATGAGACCCGTGGTGGTGGAGAATGGGCGCTGGTGGAGGGATGGGTACTTGATCATTGTATAACTGAAACCCAAGTACAAAAATTTTTAAATCTATAACTGTACCTCATGGTGTTTCACTAATAAATAAATAAATAAATAAATAAAAATTACACACTTTTTGCATAGTCTTATTTATTTGTGTGTATTTGAGGTTTCTCAGGAGTTCAAGATGCTGCTCTGTCTAACGTTCATTGATTTAAAGAAGGCCTTTGATTCTGTTGAGACAGAAGCAGTCACAGAAGCCCTAGCCAATCAGGACGTACAAACTCAATACATCAGGATCCTTCATGAGCTCTATTACGGATTCACTACCAGGATCTCACCATTCTACAAAGAAGTAATCATCCATGTCAAGAGAGGGGTTTGGCAGGGTGATACCATTTCACCAAACTCTTCACTGTCACCCTCGAGAACATCGTGCGACTACTGGAATGGGAAAGCATGGGAGTGAAGATAGATGGTCGGCAACTACACCACCTCCGCTTTGCTGATGACATCGTTCTAATAACACCAAACATCAGCCAAGCGGCACAAATGCTGACTTTGACCGTGAATGTGGAAAGGTCAGACGACAGCTGAATCTTACGAAGACAATGTTTATGAGAAACAGCCTTGTTCCTGACGCTCCATTCGTTCTCAACGGAACCACCATCTCTGAATGCAACAGTTATATACCTAGGTCGAGAAATCAACATGATGAATGACCTGGCACCTGAGTTGCGCAGGAGGAAGAGAGCGGCTTGGAATGCCTTCAAGAGTGTTGAAGAAATAACTAAGAGGACAAAGAACCTCCAGCTATGAGCACATCTCTTTGATCCCACTGTTCTTCCTGCATTAACATATGACTCAGAGACCTGGGCCCTACGAAAACAGAATGAGAACGCTATTCAGGTCTCTCAAAGAGGAATGGAAAGAGCTATGCTTGGTATATCACGATTCACTCAAATGAGAGATAGAATCTGGAGTTCTGATCTTCGTCAACGGTCAAGAATCAGGGACGGTGTCTCATTTGCCAAGGCATCAAAAATCAGATGGGCTGGACATGTAATGAGGTTTACAGACAACCACTGGACTAGAGCCATTACTGATTGGATTCCACGGGACATCAAAAGATGGTGTGGACGCCCACCTACAAGATGGTCAGATTTCTTCGTCAAGATCCTGAATGATCGGTTTGAGGCTCTGCATGTTCCTAGAACAAACAGATGCCATTGGGCTACACTAGCACACAACCGGGATGAATGGAGATGTTACTGGCACCCGCTCGAGTAAATCGATGAATAACGGGGATTAAGTGATTAAGTGTGCATACATTTGTATATACTGTTCCAAAAAGAAATATTTACCTAGTTTACATAAACTGATGTGGTTCATTTATTAATATACCTTGTATTTTTCACTTTGCATACTTTTGAGTTTTTCTGTGAAAGCAGCATATTTAGATCCACTAAATCTAGATATTTTCAAGGGGACATAACCAACAGTATTAAGGGACTCTAAGGGTCAGTTTCCTTGCTCCTCTGGTGCTGCAAGACTGGCACTGACTAGTGTTCAGGGAGCTACCAGTTTTACACTGGCAGTGCTGGAGGGACACCCAGGCTATACCTGGCAGTGCTCAGGGAACCAAGCACATGCTTAAGCTAAAGAATTGATGTAGAGTTCCTCTGCCGCTCAGATGAGCCTCATGCATGAAGAAACCTCTTATTGTCTAGTTCTCGCTCTCAGAAAACCCGGCAGACTACTGAGAGTATCCTGCCTGCACTGCAAGGCAGAGTCTGGAAAGCTCCCCATGGTGTATTCGCATTGCCAAAACCCATTAACAATATGGGTCTCATTCCCCTGACCCTGAAAGAGCCTCCAATGTGGCACTTGCTAAAATCTCAGGGCTAGGATGAATGGAGTCATTACTGGAGCCTGCTCAAGAAAATTGCTGAACAACAGGATGACAGTGATACAGTGATATATTTGCTTTGTTATGGTTTGGTTTGGGGGCTACACTCAGTCATGCTCAAGTTTACTCCTCACTCTGTGCTCAGGGTTCACTTCTTGTAAGCTCAGTAGGGCATATCTGGCGCTGGGTTGGAAAGCCTCTGCTTTCTGCTGTGCTTTTACTGTACCATATTTGGAAAAGACACTTAACTAAAATGAACCTCTATCAGCCCGAAGATCCTCAGGTTGAAACAAATCTTTTAAAACAGACATCTCAAAGTGACTGGGAATAAAACCCATTTCTCCAGCCCTCAGCCATGTGTGTGTGTGTGTGTGTGTGTGTGTGTGTGTGTGTGTGTGTGTTTGATTAGCTAAGTATGCTTAAAATTTTGATATAATAATAGTACAGAAATACCTAACTGTAAAGTAGTCTAAGCCCAGTAACGGGCTGGAGTGATAGCACAGTGCGTAGGGCGTTCGCCTTACAAGCGGCCAACATGGCCGACCCGAGTTCGATTCCTCCGCCCCTCTCGGAGAGCCCGGCAAGCTACCGAGAGTATTCGATATGCCAGACACAGTAACAACAAAGTCTCCAATGGAGACGTTACTGGGCCCGCTCGAGCAAAGTAGTCTAAAGGCATCAAGTTCACTTACCCTTTGGGATGCAAATACTGAGCTCTTTGGACAGGGACAAAAAATTGGTCAAAGTTCACATATTAAAATGGAAGCACCACTCAAAGAGGAAGCACCACTCAGAAAAGAATAGACTGCAAGTGAATCTAAATAATGAAAACCCAGATTTATTCCCGGCACACTGTGTATTCCCCTAATTCTTAAACACTTAGGGAAATGAGAAGGGAAAGAAGGAGAGAGGGGGGGGGGGGCAAGAGAGGAAGGGAGGGAGGGGGAAGAGGGAGAAGGGGAAGGGGGAAGGGAGGGAGGGGGAAGAGAGAGAAGGGGAAGGGGGAAGGGAGGGAGGGAGGAGGAAGAGGGAGAAGGGGAAGGGGGAAGGGAAGGAGGGAGGGAGAAAAAAATAGAAGGAACATTAGAAGTCTAAAGTTCTTTCCCTGTGACAATACCCAGATTAACTTTTTCATATGCAGAGAATTCCAGGCTGAGACAGTTCAGAAGAATTACAAAATCAACCTTAAAAATGCAAGCAAAGGGGCTGGGTGATAGCCAGCAGGTAGGGTGTTTGCCTTGCAAGCAGCCATATGGTCCCTGAGCACTACCAGGAGTAATTCCTGATTGCAGAGCCAGGAGTAACCCCTGTGCATTGCCTGATGTGACCCAGAAAGAAAAAAAAAAGCAAGCAGAAGTTACTCTACACACTGTTGATTGGCCCAAATCTCAACCTAGATGTGTACTGTCAGCTTCTTAGTCCCTCTGAAGAAGCTTCTGTTCCCTCTTGAACAGGTATCTCACTACTTTCCCCTCACCGCCATGCATTTCTCTATGTAAATGTCTTTAAATAAAACTATTTATTTCACATCCCAAACCCCAAGTAAGAATAATAGTTTGGCAAGTCAATGAAAATGTGTGAGATTACATAAAACGTA